ACCCTCCCCCCAGCCATAATGGGCACCCTGAGGTGGCTTGTCTGGGCTGGGCTGGGCTACCTGAGCTGCTGCTGTCTCCCTGGGGCGCAGGCACAGTTCCCCCGTGCCTGCATGACGGTGGATGCCCTTCGCTTGAAGCGCTGCTGCCCGGCATTGGGGACAGATCCAGGCAACATCTGTGGGTCTCTGCAGGGCAGGGGTCAGTGTCAGGAGGTTCAGGTGGACACTCAGCCGTGGAGTGGCCCCTACACCCTTCGAAATGTGGATGACCGGGAACGGTGGCCCCTCAAATTCTTCAACCAGAGCTGTCGGTGCACAGGTGAGAGGGGTGCTGGCGTGAGAGGATGGGGATGGATGGGTCTGCTAACTTTTCTCTGAAGCCCAGAAACATTCCTGGTGGCCTAAAACATCGAGAAGGCTTCAAATATTATCAGTTTCCTAAAAATGCTATCGTGTTTATGGCCAAGCTGTGGTGGTCCCTAGGACAGGAATAGGACAGCTACTGGTTTTCAGAGTGACAGAATCAAAAAAGTGTTTTATCTCATGCGGTCTTTTGGATTTCCCTCTCTCCCCCTAGAGTTGTCCCTGTAGCCACCCATCACCTTTCTCCACAGGTTTTTTGGACACTTCAGTGCTGTGTTCAAACCTCTGTCACTGCTGGTCATGGTGCAGTGAGCCTGGATCAGTTTGCATTGATTGCAATTTATTCCTCTTGGAGCACTACTTTGCAGCATGATACACCCCTGTGCACTGAAAACGTGTGGATGTCTGGCTGCTGTCTTTCTCAGGGTCATTAACTAATTCTACAACTCACTTTTATCCAAAATGGGTCTGTACAACCACCAGAGAGGCCATTCTGTCCTTTTCCTCCCCATCTCCAGCTGCTTCTTCCCACCCATGACTTTGTGTGGGCTTACATGTTCACGTGCTGGAGGCAAAATGCATTAGGGAGCTGATGTGCTTGAAGGTTAACCTGGCCAAAAGGATCAGATTGTAATAAGACCAATCCACTAGTATCGGCAGGAGGGAGGGAATAGGAAGGTGATGTCAGGGCAGGATAAGATGACACAACCCTTTTTCAGGAGCAGCCCTGGTTGAAGGAGGGTTAAAATGAGCAGGAACCACAGCCGCAGCCCAGTTGCTTTGCAGGGCTGGCAGGAGATGGTACCACCAGTCAGGCAAAAGGCATATTTCAAGCACTGAAGTCACCTGCTAGGCAGGTTTCAAATGCAGCCTGGGATTTCTTGTTGGAAACATAAAGTTGTTTGAATTTTCTAACATGGGAAGAATAGCCTGCTTTCCTTCAATCTGATTCTTAGAGCTAGCTGAACTGTTTTGTCTAAAATATACCTTGGCTGTCACTGTCGAAAAAGACCAGATCAATCTGAGAAAGAAGCATTGCAGAAAATTTCATCCCATGAGGTTAAGTTTTGCAATGCTGTTATCAACTGAAAGCAGAGAGGTAATGAAAGATTACTTTAATGGATAGATGCTGTTACCAAAGTTCCTCAAAGTAATAACAACAGACTTCAGAGTATATAAAGGTTTTTATCTCTTCCTTTGACTAGATTTCAAATGCTTGTGTGGAAGTACTTTTCCAGACAGACACTGTACAAAAAAGTTGGATATAGTTTTGTTTTAATTTTTATTTTAAAGGTTCTTATGTACCTCCAAAACTAAAGTCAGGTATCACATAAAAGCGCAGATCCTAAGTCAGAAGAGTGATGAAGCACATGTGCATACACCAATATTTACAAACTCTGAGTAATTAGAGCATCAAAACCTGGGAGCAGATTGAAGAGCAGTGTAGACAGACGTGGTGTGCACAGAAGGACATTAGTTTGCTTGTCCACATAGAGGTGAGCACTAGTATTTGATATTTGCAGGGCTGGGTCCCAAGTTATGTGACCTGAATGTAGTGTCATTTCATTCAGCCTTCCTTCTGCTGAGCTGTCTGCTCTCCTCGGCTCTTTAAATCTGGTTGCTTTGTGTTTCTATGCTGTTTTTTTTATTTTGCTTGTTGTATTCCTCTTTCTCCTTGCAGTCTTTGCTATTTAGATATACCAGTGATAAAACATTGAGGTGGCAGGCATCCTTAAGGATGATTTTCAGAAAGGTTTCCTGGGCTCTACTCTGTTGTGGTCAGCCTGATGCTGCATGCAAAGGCATTTCTAGGAGAATGATAAGAAGTTCAGGACTGCATGGGATTTGAATCAGATTTGATGTTTTTACAATGCTGGTAATCATATGTCTGTGTCTATTTGTATTTATTTTTATTTTAATTTGTTTTACTCTCTTTTATATACTGGTTGGCTGTCTGCACACCAGAGTTTTATGTGGTGTGATGTGTGGTCTTTATTAGGCATCTAGGGCTATGGTACCTATGGCAGTAAATTAAATACTCTCTCAGTGGGTCATGGAAGAGTGCACATCTCTACTATTACAGTATCTTATTTTCCAAATGAATGTTATGTGCAAACTGCCTATTTGAAATGGTTCCAGGCTTGTGAAAACTCCAACCTGTGCCAAGGCTTTTTCTAGCATTTTAACCATATAAACAGTCATGTTCTGGCACTGCCTGGGCACTGTTTAATTTAGAGTTTAGACATGGAATAAACAATAGCTATGGGAACCCTAACTGCCATGTGGCTGATTATATTTGGATAGATAGTGCCATTTAAATGTGTCACATAGCTGATGGCTATGCAGCAGGAAACCTGGAGAAGCTGTGAGGAACAGGGGCCAGGGTTTTCCAAAGGGGCATTCTGGACTTCTCACAATAAATTAATCCATTTGAGTTTTCTGCTAAAAACTTAACAGCTGAGGTTAAAAGGAACTCTGAACATTTCGCTGTTCACCAAGATAGAAATGTCTGAAAATCATACCCATCAGGTCTGGGTGTTGAACAATTCTGAAAAAAAAACCAACACTGAAAGATCCAGTTTTACTTCTCACTTTTTGTACAAAGAGCCACAGTCAAAAAGACAATTGTAACTCTGCTGTCAGGATGCTGCTTGCTGCACATTTCACTCAATGTGTTGGTGGCAGCAAAAATATCATCTCTATAAAAAAAAATGTGGTTATGTCGTGAATGTTATGTCATGAATGCTGGGAGGCTGCAAAGAAGTGTTAGCTCCTGTCTAATTTCAGTTTTGAAACTGTGCTGAACAGTGCTGAACATTATTTTTTTCCATAGAAGTTTTTTGAGAAAAAAAAGTATTTACATTTTTCACATTCCTGTGCAGTATATAATCACGCTGGGGACAGCAGGTTTAAATTCTATTGTTTAGATGTAAGCAAATTGCCAGTTAACCCAAGTAACTGATATCACGACCCTCTCATTAGGTAAAAACGAGCTTTTGAACTAGTTACAAAATACACTTCGTTTACTTATTGTACAGCAATGTGGCTGTAGGATAATACTAAATTATAACCATACCTCGACTACCCTGTTAGAGCATGTGCCAGGTACAGATCTTCCACAATATGTCCAAATGAAGAGCTAGAAGAGACAGAAGAACTAACCGTTTGTCTCCTATGGCAGCAATCCCTTTGGAGACTGTAGTATGCTGGTGTTTGAAATCTAGTGTAGCTCCTGTTTTAATGCAATGGCTAAAGAAGTCTGAAAAGGAGTCCTTTCTCCCTATCCGATAAATGGTGTGCATTAAGCTGGTCTCTATGGAAGGAAGAGGCATGGCAGCTGCTCAGATTTCATCTTGGTACAATAAAACAAGGTAGAAGATAATGAGTGTTGGATGGGTTCCTTTTTACTGAAGAAGACACTGAGTGGATAAGAATTACTAATTTCTGTTACACTCAGTGACTGAAGGCCAACTGCATGCTATGACTCATTCAGAGGTAGAAAAATCCCTGTCTGTGAGCACAGGCAATCACTGGGGTTGAGAAGGAGCTACAGTGGTACATGATAACTGGTGTTAGCATACACCAGTGATGTGTATGAACATATACACAGTCAGAGCAACTGACATCATCTAATTGGACTTGTGCAAAGCCTTTGACACTGTCCCACACAACATCCTTGTCTCTAAGGTGGAGAGACATGGATTTGACAGAAGGACCACTCACTGGATAAGGAATTGGCTAGACGGCTGCACTCAAAGAGCTGTGGTCAATGGCTCAATGTCCAAGTGGAGACCAGAGACAAGTGACAAGTGGTGTTCCGCAGGGTTTGGTACTGGGACCAGTGTTGTTTAACATCTTTGTTGGAGACGGGGACAGTGGGATTGAGTGCACCCTCAGTGAGTTTGCTGATGATACCAAGCTGTGTGGTGTGGTGGACATGCTGGAGGGAAGGGATGCCATCCAGAGGGACCTTGACAGGCTTGAGAGGTGGGCCAATGCAAACCTCATGAAATTTAACAAGACCAAGTGCAAGGTCCTGCACGTGGGTCGAGGCAATCCCAAGCACAAATGCAGGCTGGGTGGAGAATGGATAGAGATCAGCTCTGAGGAGAAGGACTTGGGGGTGTTGGTGGATGAGAAGCTGAATATGAGCCGGCAGTGTGCGCTTGCAGACCAGAAAGCCAACCGTGTCCTGGGCTGCATCAAAAGAAGCATTAGCAGCAGGTCAAAGGAGGTGATTCTCCCCCTCTACTCTGCTCTTGTGAGACCCCACCTGGAGTACTGTGTTCAGCTGTGGGACCCCCAACATAAAAAAGACCTGGACCTGCTGGAGTAAGTCCAGAGGAGAGCCACAGAAATGGTAAGCGGGCTGGAGCCCCTCCCCTATGAGCTGAGAGAGTTGGGGTTGTTCAGCCTGGAGAAAAGAAGTCTTCGAGGAGACCTAATAGCAGCCTTCCAGTACCTGAAGGGGGCCTATAGGAGAGATGGGGAGGCACTCTTTATCAGGGAGTGTAGTGATAGGACAAGGAGTAATGGGTATAAATTGAAAGAGGGCAGATTTAGATTAGCTATTAGGAAGAAATTTTTTACTGTGAGGGTGGTTAGACACTGGCACAGGTTGCCCATGGAGGTTGTGGATGCCCCGTCCCTGGAGGTGTTCAAGGCCAGGTTGGATGAGGCTTTGAGCAACCTGGTCTAGTAGGAGGTGTCCCTGCCCACGGCAAGGGGGTTGGAACTAGATGATCTTTAAGGTCCTTTCCAACCCTAACTATTTTATGATTCTATGATACCAAGTGCTGTGTCATAAGATGTGTCATTTTCTCGGTGTCATGCCCATGGATTGACCTGACGGGAGAAGTAGCATAGCCATAGTGCCTACAGAAACAGCCAGGTTCACCCAACTTGACTGGGAAAGAGCACCATTAATTATGATGAGATTAGGTATGAAAGAAGACAGCAGCTCCTGAGGCATGTGATCCCATCTCCAGACAAAAGGGTTAGTGGGGAAGACACCCTAGATGATTTTGTTTTGCTCAGCAGCAGTACAGTGGTCATTCCTGAAATCAGTGGAACAAGCAGGAAGCATTTGGGCCCCATACGTGACATGATCTTCCATCTGTGTGCCAGAATGACCTACCACACTATGTTTTCTAGGAACAGCAAGAAGTTAGAATAACCTCAGTTGTCCCTGGCATAGCCTCAGAGACATAGTACGCTGACTTGCTACTATTAGTCACTGAAGGCAAAAAAATGCTGACATGAACCCTTGTATGTTCCTACAGTCCCTGTGTTCAAAAGAATCTTGAAAAGGTCTCTCTGTCTTACTGAAAATGTTTACCGTGTGCTATATCCTGACAATACGAGATGACTTTTCCTGCTCTCCTAGAGCTGTTTCATTGAAGACCACAATCACCAGCGTAGCAGACATTGAAGTTAAGTTGTAAGAGACTGGGACTTACATTTCACAGTGCTATCATGTGGGAATTCCACAAGGCATTAAAATGAACTTTGAGAAAACAGCAATGCATCATTTCCAGACCCGTGGCCTCATAGAGTGTTTTAGAAACAAATACTGAAAAAGTGATTTGTGTGGGACATAAAAAGCCTGTGTCTGTCTACTGCAGTCATTCCTGTTTGCAGTGTGGGAAATCCCACAGACCTCCATCAACTTCTCACCATTTCAGCTACCGCATAATGACAGTCCTGTGATGCAGGGAGTCTAGGGAAAAGAAACTTTCCATTTCATTAAGTGGTGGTGTTGTATGCATTTCTGACAAGAGAACATTGCCAAATAGACCTGAAGCACACTACAAAAATTTCCAACACAACCAGCAGAAATACTGCAGTGTGAAATACCACTTGGCCTGGAGGTTGGCTTCTCCTCTTTGTCAGTCTCTTCTTCACTGCAGTCCCCTTTCTCATTCAGTAAAATTTCATGTCCCATTGAAAAGTGTCTGGTGAAGTGGTGGAAAGAATGGACATCTTGGATTATTTGATAGATTAGGCTGTTAAAGGAGAAAATCCTGTAGAGCGTCGATTGATTGTAATTAGCACCTGCTCAAGGAAAACAGGCAAGGAGTCATCAGTCTTCATAGCTCCAAATGCCATACAGGTGGAAAAAAATTATTTCCCACAAAGACGACTCATCAATTCAGGCTTTTTGCAAATTTATTTTCATAGCCTGAGGGAGTGCACAGACTATACCTAAAATGTGGATATTGTCTGTGTCGCGGTTTGACTTGAGTGGCAGTTGAACACCACACATCTGCTCGCTGACCCTTCCCCCTCCTGGGGGTGGGGAGACAAAGAGGTAAAGGGAAAAGAGACTCGTGGGTTGAGATAAGAACAATTTTATAACTAACCTACAATAAAATTGAAAATAATAATTATAAGAGTAATTATACAAATTTACAAATATACAAAGGAGTGATACACAGCACAACTGCTCACCACCTGATGACCAAGGCTCAGCCTGTTCCCGGCTAACGATGCCAGAGCAGGGAGAGTCCTGAAACTCGAGAGAGTGAGAGCCGAATGAGGTTGGGGGGTGCAACTTCTGGACAGATCCTCATCTATATACTGGGCATGACGTGCATGGTATGGAACACACCATTGTCCAATTTGAGTCTCAATCCTAAACCTAAGGTCAAATCCTAAGACAGGGGTTGGGGCTGTGCTCCCTTCCAGCTTCTCCTGCACCTGCAGACACTGGCACAGCAGAGAAGCTGAAAAGTCCTTGACTGTCCTGGCAGCAACTTTAAACATCAGTATGTTACCAGCACAAATCCAAAACAGAGCCTCTTACTAGTTACTATGAAGAAAGTTAACTCTGTCCCAGCCCAAACCAGGACAGTGTAATAAAATAATCTCAGGTATCAAGAGCTGCATAGATTCAAAGGGCCCTCAGTGAGAGAGCAATAGGCACCATCAGAGCCTCAACAAGTGGCTGGTGGAGTTTTGTTCTGCTACCAAGACAGGACAAACCTGGTCCTACACTGATTTGCCTTCTGTTAGTGCTGTATTTCAATGTAATACCTATCCAGTGCTGGGATTAGATGGGTTATTTGAATTACTGGAAGAGTGACTGCCAATCCCAAAAAAGATTGTTGATAGATCTTTTCATGGTTAACTCCTGCTTTGTTCCCCTTCTCTTAAAAAGGATTGAATTGTACTTTTGGGTGAGAGGGGACAGCAGCTGCATTCCAGAAATTCATGATCCACGTACTGAAATTTGCGCAAGATACTAGGCAATGTTGCAAGATATTCATGATGATTTGTCATCTGGCCAGTACAGGCTGGAGTATGTAACAGGCCCTAATAGCTAGGCTGAGTTGCCAAGAATGAGCAAGTGTACAGACAGTGGAGTACACAAAAT